ACAAAAACATTGCCATAAATTGCGCTGTCGAGGCCACGTGTCGCCATCTCCTTCATCGCCCATAACCTCAAAAGCATCGGAGCCCCACATTTTCCTTCTCCGTCACCACAGACACTCTCCCTCTCCTCCAACTAAAAAATCGGAGCAGAAAAAGTTCGTACATCGTCACAACACACACACTGTACACACACTCATCTTGTTCGCTATTCAAATTTCAAACAAGGTCGGATAACATTGAGTTTCTGCAAAAATGACGGACGTCACGGATGAGATTGCAGAGGAGATTTCGTTTCAGGGGTTTGAAGATGACTGCAGGTTGCTGGGGAATCTGCTCAATGATGTTCTTCAGAGAGAGGTCGGGCCTGAGTTCATGGAGAAGCTCGAGAAGACCCGAGTCCTAGCTCAGGTTTTTTTTTCTTTTTTTTTTTGTATTGGGTTTTTGTCCTTTCGTGGACCCTTTTTTGGGTTTTTTGTTTTCGTTCTTCTCCAATTGTTGGGTTTGATTTTCATGTTGAACTGTGATCTCTGCAGATGTTGTATGTGTGTGTGTGTGTGTTGGCTTTGTTTTTCTGGGTTTTAATGGCATTTGATTAATTTACTGTGCTCCATTGAGTGTTTTTCATTGCTTTGTATGGCGGTGTTGTTCTGCATGAGGGTCTTGTTGTCAGATGTAGATTTGTTTGAAGAGTTGTTTGTATCATACGATTGATATTCGTGACGTTGCCGCTCGAGTTTGGGTCTCATTTCTGGATAAATCAATGGGCTATTTTGATTTATTTTGATGTTTATTTATTATGTACAGAAGTGTAAACAGATTGCCCTGTTTTCATTAGGATGAGGGGTTTCACTGTTGTTTTTGTTGGTCGAGTGTTTGCATTGAGCGATTTATGGGAAGAATTGATTTTGCTTGTTATCAAGTTTTAAGGCCTTTTGTGTGTTTTATTTGTATTTATACTGATTTGAGAAACAAAATATGTGTTGTAGAGTGCATGCAACATGAGGAATGCCGGAATTGAAGACACGGCCGAGCTTCTCGAGAAGCAACTTGCAGCCGAGTTGTCTAAAATGACTCTCGAGGAGGCCCTCACGCTTGCTCGGGCTTTCAGTCATTATCTGAACCTGACAGGGATTGCTGAAACTCATCACAGGTAATTGTTGATTTTGTGTTTCTAATTTTGCAAAACATGATTATATATTCATATGAAGTGGCAAATCCATTTTCCTCTTAAACTAGAATAAAAAAACCTTCTGATGCCTCTAGCCTTTTTTGGTAACATGTTTCTGAGTGGATACTTAAATTTTCTCGAATAATCAGTAGTGCAATATTTTTCATTGCAGAGTAACTAAGGCTAGAAGTGCTAGAAAAATATCGAAATCTTGTGATGATACTTTGAACCAGCTCATTCAGAGTGGTATTTCTCCTGATGAGCTTTATGATACAGTTTGCAAGCAGGTGTGTAAATCACGCTTTGTTTATCTCTTGTTTGAACAATTTCTGAAAGTTAAGTTATTGTTGGCTGATTTTTTTATTTATTTATTTATTTATTGTTTTCACTTCAGGTGGTTGAAATTGTTCTCACAGCACACCCCACGCAAATCAATCGGCGAACATTGCAATATAAGCATATAAGAATTGCTGTATGGCATTTATCCAATCCTGTTGTTCTGTTAATATAATGTATTCGTCACTGGAATGGGAATGTCGGATTTACCTATTTGTTATTGTTACTTTCTTTTTTCTCTCTTTTGCAGCATCTTTTAGAATACAATGATCGCCCTGACCTCGGAGATGAAGATCGTGAGATGTTGATAGAAGATCTGGTAGCTGCTTTTCTTCGAAACTTTTGAACTGTTAGAAAAATATATTTAGATAATAAACTCTACTGAAATTTGCCTAAGATATATGAGTTTTTGAAATTGTAGGTTAGAGAGCTTGCCTCAATATGGCAAACCGATGAGCTCAGGCGGCACAAGCCCACTCCAGTTGATGAAGCTAGGGCTGGTAAGTTTAACAGAGTTATGCTAATATTTATTTTCCATTTTCTTCTACTTGTTTAAAACACTGATCTGTCTCTATCTCTTCCAGGATTGAATATTGTGGAGCAATCACTTTGGCGAGCTTTACCTCATTACTTGCGGCGTCTTAGCAATGCTCTTAAGAAGGTTTTTTTCCATATATTTCTGTTAAATCTGTTTT